CAATTGCCGGACTGTTGGGACACCTGTTCGAGGAGGAGGAAGAGCAGCTGGACCAGGGAAGCTATTGGGATCTCCATAAACGCCATTTCCTTGCTCCTCTCCAATAGAGTTCTGAGTCAAGGCTTGGTTTGCTGTGTGACAGATACTTCCTGTGTGACCATCCCATATAACTTGCTTTAGCTGCTCATCTTTCGTCTTCTTGATCTCTGCTTTAACAGCATTTGAGACTTCTTCTTCGGTTGTTCCAAAGATATCAGGACGCAGACGAGCAAGTCCGACTATGTTTTTAGCAATCTCATCATCTTGTGCAAGAGTGGTCTCACGAATCTTAGCAAACATCCGATCCTTCTGCTCTTTGAACTTAGGATCGATAAGCGAAATCCGCATGTGCTCAGACATCTCGTTAATGGGAATCAGCTCACCAGTAATTGGTGATACAACAACTTTAGTCGGATTTCTCTCTGTTGGGATCATCCTATCTTCTGGCCTCTTCCAGTTCTTGACAACTCTCATAGGTGCTTCTTCTTTGTTTACATTTTCTATCTGCATAGAGCCACCATTCTCTTCCAGGTTCGCTGCTCTCATTCCTTCTGTGACAAGCTTATTTTCTTCTTCATCCATTTCCATTTCGGCTTCCATTCCAGGCTCAACAATTTCATCTTGTTCCATCGCTGATACTTTGTTCCTCCTTATAACCTCTTCAAGTGTCATAGGCAGGTGCAGCTCTTCATCCTTCTCGTCAGCAAAACTTATCGAATCAACAACCGCAAAATCATGCCAATCAATCATAGCCATCTGCAATCTCTCCTGCTCTTTCTCGTCCTCGTCTTTCTTTCTCGCCTTCTCCTGAAAATGATCCCATTCAAGACGATGCAAACAACGCTCAAGAACGGTCGTGAAATCAGAACAACTCTTTCTCAGCTTTTCTTTCAAATCTTGGGGAGGGTTTAAGACATCAAAATATGCATCAACCAGAGCAGTGAATAAAGGGAACATGCTATGTGTTGGCTTCATAAAGTGAAACTGAGGATTACTATTCTCTCTACTCTGCAATCCATTCAAGAAGGATTTCCCATTCCGCGCCACAAACTGCGATGTAAGCATAATAATATCAAGCTCCTCGCCCGTGACCCCTTCGAGAAGTCTGACTGTATACTTGTGATCAGATTCTGGAGGTTCTAGGGGCTTAGGAGGAACCCTAAACTGAGCCGTTTTCTCGACAATACTTCTGATATCTGGAGGTGGATGAATGATTCCGATAGCTCTCGTGTGAGTCTCCACAGCTTGATTTGAATTGTTTTCCTTCTCTTCGATAATTTCCTCATCGGTTAACTGCGAAGGAGGAGGAAGTGGACCGAGATTCCAGTCTATAGGAGGAGACTCGAGTGGCGGTATCTGCGTCGAACCAAACATATTCTGCAACCAAAGAAAACAAAATTAGATTCAGATATGGAAACGGAAACATCATCAAAAGTTCAGAATTGTATTTGACCCTAATTCATTGGTTTAACTGTTCCAAATTCGGCAAAACCATTTAAATTCCCAATGGAGAAGGCGCAAATCCGTCAGACTAAGATGCGAGAGAAAGGAATCGAAAGGGGAAAAATGGAATCGGCGACGAAAAGAGATAAGAAGAAAAACCGTACCTTAGCCGGTAAGGAACAGCCCCGCCGTGAGAACTGCCGTGTCGTCGAAAGGAAAAGCAATCGATAAGAAGTTAAGAATGAAACGACGAAGAAGAAATAAACTGACCCGTAGGATTTATGAACGAAACTCGTTTTATATAGGTTTGGTAATTGGGCCTTATTATTGGGCTTATAAGTAATTGTTCGGTGATTATCGTGTTGACCAGAGGTCGGTGAAACCAGTCAAAAATGGAGGTTGATTTTGTTTTAACAATTTTGGCTCACTCATTCATACTTCACTAACTCTTCTTCCAATGTGCTATAAATACGTGAGTTTCTCATTGAGAGGAAACTTCTCAACAATCTAAAGAAAAACAGAAACGTGAGAGAAGAAATTTTTTCTTTTTTGGTGAGAAATTAAGAGCAGTGTAATTGGCTTTTGGATGTGAGTTGAGAGTGGTGTAATTTTTCCCGATTAATAATAAAATATCTGCAGCAGGTTCAGAGACGTAGACAACATTGGCCGAACTCCGTTAACAAATCGTGTGTTTTTTTATCGTTCCCACAAATTTGATTTATCAGAAATTTGACGTTATTTTCTAACAACCGGTATCAGAGCGTTCAGGTTATTTTTCGTCAAACTCTGTGTGAGGTCATTATTCACGTGAATAGTAAAATTTGTCGACGATATCAGTGTTCTTATACACGGTGGTTCATAAAATAAACAGAAACAATGGGAGGCGAAGATGGTTCGGCACACAGTATCAAAAAATTTGACGGTATAGATTATGCATTTCGGAGAATGTAAATCGAAGATTATCTGTACGGAAAGAAGCTTCATCAACCGCTGAGCAAGAAGCCTGAGAAGATGACTGAGGAAGAGTGTGATCTCCTTGACAGGCAGGTTCTAGGTGTTATCAGATTAACACTGTCGAAAAACGTTGCTCACAACGTTGCGAAAGAGAAGACCACAGAAGGGCTGATGAAAGTTCTCTCGGACATGTATGAGAAACCTTCAGCCAATAATAAGGTGTTTCTCATGAAAAAACTCTTTCACCTGAAGATGGAACAAGGTGGCCCTGTTGCAACACATGTGAACGATTTCAACACGATTGTCAACTAACTATCATCTGTTGAAATCGAGTTTGAGGATGAAGTGCGAGCACTGATTTTGCTTGCATCTCTACCAAATAGTTGGAACCTATGAGGGCTGCGGTTAGTAATTATGTGGGTACTCAGAAGCTAAAATTCAATGATGTTCGAGATCGTATCCTTGCTGAAGAAGTTTGTAGGATAGACTCTGGCAAAACATCAATGAGCTCTGCTTTCAACGTGGAAAACAGAGGCAGAGACCAGAACAAAATGAACCAAAACAGAGGCAGATCAAAGTCAATGAATGGAAGGGGTCAATCCAAGTTCAGAAAGCCTGTTGAGTGCTGGAACTGTGGAAAGACCGGTTACTTCAAAAGTAACTGTTGGGCACCACCAAAGAAGCAAAATAACAAAGGAAGCGAAGCCAATGCAGTCACACATGGAATTGCTGATGCATTGTTAGTGTCTGTTGATTCCCCGAGAAAAGGTGAAACTCATGATGTAGCTATAAACACCACCAAAGCATCGATCTCCTATGTTGATAGTCCGATCGATTCTTGAGTTCTTGACTAAGGAGCAACATTCCACACCACACCAGACCACAACATTATGGAGAATTATGTTGCGGGAAATTATGGGAAGGTATATCTAGCTAATGACTTACCTTTAGACATAGTTGGTATTGGAGATATCAATTTGAAGATTTCAGATGGACTCATGTGAGATCACAAAGATTAGACATATGCCAAAGCTGATGCGAAATCTTATCTCAGTAGAACAACTTGATGATACGGGGCACAATGTCAACTCTGGTGATAGAACTTGGAGAGTGAAGAACGGTTCCATGGTGGTTGCTAAAGGTCATAAAAGAGGCACTCTTTATATGACGATGAGTTATCAAGATACAGTTGCTGTTGTTGAGAATGCCAAACACACCC